CTAATACGTGCATGTGTATGCGCTAATGGGCGAAGATTACTGCCTAATTTTGTTATTTAAGCCCATAGTCTCGTAGTTTTGCACGCACCAAAGCCCAGGATGCAACAAAAATAGCCCATCTAACTGATGCCCACGTATATAGACGATAGATCAAGGACTCCTGGTCGTTCGTTAGGCCCGTTCTTGCCTCACGAACAGATCGATAGATCCATCTATCGCGCCGTCGCCGCCAGGACGCTACGACGTCTGCCGCCGGCCCCAAGTCGCTGACCATGGACTTGATTGCTGTCTTGTCGAGGCAGCCGAGTACCCCGCGAATACGGCGGCTGCCGCTGATCGTCCTTGGTCGCTTGCGTACGCCCACACACAACCAAATAATTAGGCAAGGTACATACACAGTATTATACTATATATACAGAAGTTTTGCTAGTATGATCTAACCCCGTTTGCTTTTGTTTGGCTGTATACTTTGTTAGTTGGAAAACGAAGATAGTCTGAAATTTATGCTAGTGCCGATTATTTTTGATCTAGACATTGGTAATAGTGATAGTAGAGCTATATTTTTGTTTAAAAAATCCAAACAAACTATGGCCAGTTTTAAATATCTTTTTCAAAAACTAGTATGAGTCTAAGTATTTGAGATGATTCGATATTACCTATAATATTTCCAAACATATGTTATACACTACTTCTGATCGATATATCATACTGTAGTACTATACTTTTGATCGTCATCACTTGCCCCCCCTATGTTCAAATCTTGGCTCCGCCCCTGATGCAATCAATCAGGATTTCAAGTTATCAAGCCGCTTCCGGGATTGCGTTGCTCAGGGTTCAATCGACCGGGATTTCAAGTTGTTCAGGGTGCAATCAATCAAGATTTCAAGTTATCAAGTCGTTTTCGGGATTGCATCGTTCAGGGTGCAATCGAAGTCAGTTCAGAGTTGTGTTCTGGGTGCAATCAACCAGGATTTCAAGTTTTCAAGTCGTCTTCGTTTCGACTAACGGTTTTAAATGGACTCGCTCCCTTTTTGGACCGTGGACATGAACAGTGCACATCACCGGATTTGACTGAAAGTTAAGGAAACAATCTTCAGGCGGTCCCAAAATGTGCATTTCCAGGCCACAGTTCGACATAACTTCAGTAGTGTCCAGCGATGTATTAGCATCGGTCTTGGCGTCTCACTCTCGGAAAGACAGACAAGCGTGTTCCCAAGAGTTTGTCTAAAGTTTAACGCCCGTGTTATTGTTTTGCACACTGACACTGCAGATCTTACACATACTTCCATTCTATACAAGAAACGACTAGACGAGCACGTCAAAAAAAGAAAAAAAAAACGACTAGACGAGCACACCATTTTATTCGTACAAAGTACCAACCAAGAACCGCTGCCTGCCACCTCGGGCGTACGCTCGCTGTACGAGTCTAGATGGAGAGGGAGGAGAGGCGCTACGCCTACGGGCGCTCCTGGTTGAGCCGCGCCGCCGTGGTCACCGCCTCCGCCACGCCGCCCGGCGTGGTCGTCAGGTCCAGCTTGTTCCGCATCTCCGCCGACACCACCCTCTCCGCGTCCTCCCTCGTCGCCCCCTTGTCCGCCGGCAGCTTGCTCCTCGCGTCCTGTCGTCAGTTGGTTGCCACGGAGTAATGGGCAAATGAATCAATCATGGAGGAGAAAGAAAACGGGTATAACAACGAGCTGTAGAGTTATCAGGAGCTCACCGAGAGGACGTCCCGGAGCTTGACCCTGTCCTCCTCGCGCGCGGCGCGCTCGTTCTGGTCGGCGGCCGCCTGCACCGCCGCGGCGACGCCCCCCGGGACGGTGAGGTTGGACCCCGTGGCGCGCATCTCGGCCGCCTGGACGGCCGCCGAGTCGCTCTGGTCCACCGGCTTCGCCCCCGCGCCGGCCGCCGCCACGGCCTCCAGCGCGCGCCCGATGGTCACGGCGTCCTGGTCCAGCGCGCCCGACGGCTCGGTGGCCGTCACCGGCGCGGGCGCGACGAACCGGCCCACGACCTGCCCGGCGACGGACTCGGTGATGACGCGGCGGCCGGGCAGGTCGGCCTCGGTGACGGTGACGCCCGCGTCGGCGACGGGGCCCGTGAGCTGGCCGCGGCCGACGTGGCCGGCGCGCGCGTTGAGCGTGGCGGCCGACTGCATGACGGCCGCGGGCCCGCCCTTCTGCGTCTGCCCCAGCCCCAGCACCTCGTTCTCGGTGGACTGCAGCATCGCCGCGTCCCTCGGCGCCACGGGCTGCGCCGCCAGCTCCCCGGAGACGTCGAACACGTCGCCGTACTTGATTGGCCGGTCGGCCTGCATGGCCTCCCCGCCCTTGGGCCTCCGAGGCTGGCCCTGGCTCATGTCTGCGTGGGTGTGGGTGTTCCTCGATTGGTCACGGACGGGAGTTGCTGCTCTCTCGGACTGACTGCGTGATGATCCGGCGGCGCGCTGTGGCCTGTGCGTTCTGGCTTTTATCCGGGCTGCGTGGGGCGGCGCGGCGGCGGAGGATGGGACACGTAAGGTCGACGAGAGGAGGTACGTGGAGTCGTGGCCGAGTCGCACTTGAGCGTGCGCGTCCGTGGCGCCTGCATGTTGTGATTCAGATCGACGCGCGTCAGCTGATGCTTATCGGGTCACTGTGCGCGCAGCCGGGGGACAGTGAGAAGATGGCCGCTCCGATGAGAAAAGAACCGCGCGTCAAGTAGTTCTCGCGGTGGGGAATTCGGCTTCGGCGTGTCCTGCTCGCGTCGTCTTTCGCCGCTCAGCGGCGGGAGCGCACTCGTGCTCATTGCTCATTGATGGCTGTGGGTTCCTCGCGGGGGTCCGTTGCCTGGTCGCGCACGCCGCCGATCGAGCTGATGTCTAGCATAGACGTGGACGGACCGGCCTTGTTGTCCGAGCTAAATTTGACAGATCTCGGGTAATGGGTCTTGATCTGATAATTTTAACATGATGATAAGATGAGGCATTTTGTTTATCAGGATTGGGGCAAGAGATGAAATCCTAGGAACGGCTCGAAACTGCCTCGCTAGTCCTGACCATGGGCAGCCCGGCACAATCGGCCCGACCCAAAAAAACCCGGCCAGGCCCGACCTTGTCCACGGGCCTAGGATTTGAGCCCGAAGCACGGGCCGTGCCGGGCTTGGGCCCGTCGTTTTTGCCGTTCAAGGAAGAGACCCAGCCCGAGGCCCGCCGGGCTTTTAGCATGATGGGCCAGGCTCGGGCCCGATTTTTAGGCCCGACAGCCGGACCGGGCCGGGCTCGGGCCTGAGTTTTTTGCATCGGGCTTTGGTTGGCCCGGCCCGAGGTATGACCAGGTATATATAAAAGACAAACCCGTTTTCCAAGGTTTGAACCCACCACACTAGATGAGTCTTGTCATACAAAAATCATATAAAATTTGATGGTACATATAGCAGCTCTCCTACAGGGGATGTTGGGCGTGAGCCGGCTGATCCTAAGCGTGGGCCCGCCGGTCTAACAGCCGTTTGGTTACACCTTCTGATTTGTACCACGTCTGTCTGATCTATTTCATCTTTTACTTAGTCCATTTATTAAAGTAGGGACTCACCCACCTTTTTGTATTACTCTGCAACACGAATACTCGTAGCCCCCATGACCAGTAGCATTGCTGACGTACACCTCTCTCAAATGAAATAGAGCAAAGCCGACACTTTCTACTTTAGTGTCGTCACCGCTGGAGTATCCTGCTTACTCACCTCGTGTTGCAACATGAAAACCGCACGTACATCATTTAATTGATTTTCCCACAAAAAGCATTTAACTTGATCTTTAGCAACAAATAAAAAATATGGTAGACTACTTCAAAGAATCGCTAGACTAAAAAAAAGAATCACTAAAATAAAAAAAATAAAAAATTGATCGGGCGGAGCAATAAAAAGATCAAAACATGTTGGGAAACGATAGTTTGGCTAGCGGCGAGAGAAGTTTTGTAATGTTGCGCGATTGGCGTTGCAACAGATGATCCGGCTTTTGTTAGAGAAAATGAGAGTATAATACTTGATATCTTCTATAATGGACTAACCGATGCTTTTAGGGACTACCTAGATAGTTGTATTTTCAGAAAACGAACGATTAAACAAGCGGAGGAATTATTGAATAATATATTGAAGAATGATAATAATTGGACACTTCTTGAGCCACCGCCTAAACCCATCCCGAAGAAGAGGGGTATCTTATTTCTCAGTCCTGAAGATATGCAAGAAGCAAAGAAATATATAAAGAAAAAATGTATTAAAGCTGAAGATGTTAAGAATTTACCACCTACTAAAGGAATACATGGTCTGACACACCACCACAGGTGGTAGAGGTTTCTCTTATAATTTTGATGAAGGTGATATTCCCTATAATAAATCTCCTAGTTAATGCTTATATGAATTTGACAACTATATTACTAAGTAAGATCATTTCAATGCAAATGTTACGAAACAAGTGAAATGAAACACTGACATGATTGATCATTTGAGTGACTTGCTGTTTAGAATTGTTAATGATGTTAAAGGTGTAAGTAAACATGCATCTATGGTCCAAACCCAGTTAGAACAAGTTGTTAAATCTCAAAGTGAGTTGCTCAACGAAATGAATAACAACATAAATGATCATATTGTTAGAGTAATGACTAGAGGAGTTAAAATGACTCAGGAGCCATTTTATCCTGAAGGTCATCCTAAAAGAATTGAACATGACTCTGGTTGCTTGTATCTGCGTTGGTATTTCACCGAAGAGGAGAGGATGATGCATCACAACAAATGTAAGTATTTCACTCAGTTATGAAATCAAGGTTATCAATCCAATAGGAGAACCAGGCAACACTTTAGAAACAACACCTACACACACAACAAAAACTTGCAACCCAACGCGTAAGAGGGGTTGTCAATCCCTCCTCGGTATTGAGATAGATTAAATTGTATAGGTTTTGGTAAATAGATCTAGCAAAAATGTAAAATAAAATAAATAAAGAAAAATTGCAGCAATGTATTTTTGGTTTAATATGATAGGAAAATAGACCCGAGGGCCGTAGTTTTCACTAGAGGCTTCTCTCAAGAAAATAGCATACAGTGGGTAAACAAATTACTGTTGGGCAATTGACAGAAAAGCAAATAATTATGATGATATCCAAGGCAATGATCGTATATATGCATCACGTCCAAAATTAGTAGGCCGACTCCTGCCTGCATCTACTACTATTACTCTACACAGCGACCGTTATCCAGCATGCATTTAGTGTACTGTTCATGAAAAAACGGAGTAATGTACTCCCTCCGTTTTTATTTAGTTCGCATATTAGCTTTGGTCAAAGTCAAGCTTTACAAATTTTGACCAAGTTTATAAACAAAAATATTAAGATATATAATAACAAATCAACAACATTAGATTTATTATTGAATGTACTTACACATTGTGTAGATTTATTATGATAATGTCTATATTGTTTTCTACAAACTTGGTCAAACTTTACGAAGTTTGACTTCAGTCAACTCTAATATGCAGAGTAAATAAAAACAGAGGGAGTAATAAGAACGATGACATGATGTAGACAAGATAAACTCACGTATGAATAAACCCCATCTTATTACCCTTAATAGCAATGATACATGCGTGTTATGTCTCCTTCTGTCACTGAGATTGAGCACCGCAAGATCGAACCCATCACAAGCACCTCTTCCCATGGCAAGAAACAATCTAGTTGGCCAAACCAAACCAAAATTTCGGAGAAGAAATACGAGGCTATAACAATCATGCGTATAAGAGTTCAAAGAAGACTCAAATAATATTTGTAGATAGATCTGATCATAAACTCACAATTCATCGGATCCCAACAAACACACCGCAAAAAAGAGTTACATCAAATAGATCTCCAAGAACATCGAGCAGAACATTGTATTGAAGATCAAAAAGAGAGAAGAAGTCATCTAGCTACTAGCTACGGACCTGTAGGTCTCTGATAAACTACTCACGCATCATCGAAGGGGCTACAAGGGTGATGAAGAACCCCTCCGTGATCGTTGCCCCCTCCGTCGGAGTGCCAGAAAAGGCCTCTAGATTGGATCTCGTGGTTCTGGAACTTGCGGCGGCGGAAACTGTATTTCCTCGACTTCCCTAGGGGTTTCGAGATTTTAGAGTATTTATAGAGGTGGAAGTCGGCCGAGAAGGTTCCCGTGGACTCCACTACCCACCAGGGCATGCCTAGGGCCCCTGGCGCACCCTGGTGCCTAGTGGACCCCACGTGACTCCTCTCGTGTGCTCCTTTGGCTCCCTGGGTGTCTTCTGGGCAGGAAAAAAATCTCCAAAAAGTTTCGTGACATTTGGACTTTGTTTGGTATTGATATTCTGCAAAGTAAAAAACAAGCAAAAAACAACAACTTGCTCTAAGCACTATGACATGAGATGGATATGTGGCTCCGGGAGTCGAGAAAGGATCCCGGAGCATTGATACAACAACACAAATATGACTTAGGTTTTACTACTCTACTCCCTCCTGTTGCTGCAAGACGGGGGGTTCCAGAAGATGCTAGTCTTCAATAGGACTAGCTTCTCCCCCTCTTATTCTGGCATTCTGCAGCTTAGTCCACAGATACTACACTTTTCATTGATACCGATGCATAAGTAGTGTAGATCCTTGCTTGTGAGTACTTTGGATGAGTACTCACGGTTGCTTTGCTCCCACTTTCCCCCTTTTTCCTTTCTTCTCGGTTGATGCAACCAGATGGCGGAGTCCAGAAGCCAGATGCCACCTTTGACGACTGCTACTACACTGAGGGTGCCTACTACTACGTGGAGGCCGCCGATGACATGAGTAGTTAGGAGGCTCCCAGGCATGAGGCCTTGCCTTTCCGATCGATGTTGCTTTTGTGCTAGCCTTCTTAAGGCAAACTTGTTTAACTCATGTTTGTTCTCAGATAATGTTGCGTCTGCTGACTCGTTTATTTTCGAGCTTATGTATTCAAGCCCTCGAGGCCCCTGGCTTGTAATATAAAGCTTGTATTATTTTAATTTGTGTCTAGAGTTGTGTTGTGATATCCTCCCGTGAGTCCCTGATCTTGGTCGTACACATTTGCGTGTATCATTAGTGTACGATTGAATCAGGGGCGTCACAATCTGGCGTGGGCGTGCGTGAACTGAGGGCCAAGGGTCGTGTAACCCATCTTTCTCACACCCACTTCACGCCATAGTATATATAGACCTTCCCCTCTTCCTCCTAGGGTTAAGTTGGATTACATCTTGAGAGAGTTTTGCACATCTATCACTCATCGGAGTTCAAGACCTCATAGGAGAAGATCCCCTAGTAGATATCAAGGCTTCCTCCCTTAGGTATTGATAAGCCTACCCTATCAATACCT